CCAGCGCTGTATCCATTGAGCTAACCGGGAGGCGTTTGGTTCGGAAAGTTTGTAACGAACAAGTTTGCCACTTATTTAAAGCAATATGTATAAAAACCTATGATTTATTATTGTATTTGGTAAGCTTACTTCCATGTATACAATTTGCTGACTATACCTGTAATTCAGATTTTTTGCAAGGGGTATAAATAAACAAACAAACAAACAAACAGACCCACAGTTGCTTGTACTGATTTGTAACTTTTGACCAGCTATTTGACTAAGTTTACCCTCGTCACAGTTTTGACCTTTGAATGCAGCAGTACACAAACGGAGATATCCTTTGTCGGTAAAACCGCTTTGACAAGTGGCGTTATTCTTGGAGAAGTTTTGAACGCAAGCGCTGTGAAGCCAAAAAGACAAAAAATTGAAAACCGCAAAAATATTAGTTTTTTTRCGGTTGAACCATTTAATTATGCCCAAGATTGTCTCTCATTTTGAAATGAGAGCAAATCAAAGAATCTCATCAAAAACTGAGGGTTACTAACTTGATGTAAATGTAGAGAATAAGCCAGAAATGATAACTGTAGTAATAACTATTATGAAAGATAAATATAATCGCGATCGTAATTACTTTACTGAAACCATTGCATAAAATAGCACCCACCTCAGCCGCATGATAAAAATAATTTTCTTCCTTTATCAGCGCGCGTTCGTGTCCTTCATGAGTAACATTATTCAATTCACATTTGTACTTTCCGTTTCTTTCCATTCGGTTATCAAGATTGATGCTGACGCAGTCGGGTTCCATGAGACATAAAGCTTCGCAAAACTTTTTCACCTTGACTTCAACGACACGAATCACGTGGTTTACGAGGCGTTTACTATTAAATGCTTTTCCAGACGTGAAGCCCAAAGTACGACATTGATCTGCTTCAGAGAAGTCTTCAAATAAAAACAAAGAAATCAGTGAATCGAAAAATGATACCTTAGGTGTTTTTTTTTCCTTTTTTTACATATACGATTCGCATTGATCTATACTGCCAACAGAATTGGCAGGAAACTTCCATTCTTCCAAATAGAAATAAATATCTTCAGCTAAGAAGTATACGATCGAAAATGACGCGATTTTATCTACCCATGCGATTTTTAGCTACCCACGGACCATTCCAGAAGAGCTTTACTAGACTGGAAGTCATCATTTCCTACAGCTGATCAGACAACTGGTCAAAGGCTACATGTAGATCCATAAACTGGTTTGTGTTCCATTTCTTCGACTTTAGTATTTCTGATCATTTAACAATTTCAAATGATATAGTCAAACGGGGGGTGACAACTCTAACATACGCTGTTTGAGCAGTACTAGGTCTTTAACTTAAGTCGTCCCGGAAATTTGGATCCTCCTCCCGAATTTTTGCGATATTTTCCCGGAATCTGATTTTTAGAATTCCCGGCAATTACTACTTGTGTAACCTTAAATATTACACGTTTTGCATGTTTAGCATTATTCTAAGCATGAATAGCGTCATTACAGTAAAGAATTTCAATTTGAATTGACAAAGAAACAAAACATCTTTAAAATGGCCGTATTTTCGTTGCATAGCATGCATCGTTCATTTCCTATAATGAGGTATTAGTTGTGCTAACGTGTACGAGTAAAAGAAGCCTGAAGTGTTTCGTCGACTATGTTGAGCAACGAGAAGCCTTCTACCGCCTTGTGTATGCCGCTACAAGAGCGAGATCGACATTCTCTCTTGGGATCCACATTCCGGCACCGTCAGGCTCCTGTGTGCCCTTCACTTGGTATTCCACTCCGTCTTTGGTTACTCGATGACCAAACACCATCACACTTTTCTCACTGGCTTAGGATGATTGCTCAATAGACACATCTGGTTCTTTGCCTTTCGCCCTTTCAGCTCTTTTGCCTCCATTTTGTTTTGTCACAAAATCCAACCACTGCAACAAAGGAGCACTTTCTTGATCGTGCAATGTCACCTTGGCTTTTGGCTTTCGACAGTACAAAGGAAGAGAGCCTGGCCTCTGCTTGTAGATTTGTCTCACTCCACTAACTTTAACACCCTTTCCGTACACACGGCAAAAGTCACGCATTTCCGACGCCTCTTTCTTTACCCGCGAACTTTCCTTAATTTGGAAAAAATCAGGTACTGCTAGGAATATAATATGCTACTTTTACCAACGAAATAAGGGCCTGATCCGAGGAAATTGACATTCGAGGAGAGCTTTTTCGTGGAAAGGATAGACATTGACATTTTTCAAAATGTGGAAGATGGAAATACTTTTTCTGATATACCGATGGTGATTCATACAAGAAAATGTGCATTTGTAGCCACCGAAAAGGTCCATAACTTTTGAAACATTCACTTTTCCTCAAACACATGCTCCAGATTTTCGATGAGGAAGATTTTTTTTAGCAAAAAGCAATGCTCAAATTCGAAAACGATCCAAACTGTCTGACTAGATGCCTTTTTTTTATTCTCGTCACGTGAAATATCATTTCGAACCATTTAAAGTGAACATGGATCGACCAAACTCGACCAACTTCGATGACCACCGTGGTCCAGTTTATCAAAATGAAACGAGATGAAGACACAAAGACAGATTAGGAATTTCTTTCAAGAGGTACAATTAAAGTGAGAACTTATTCCTATTGAGTTGGTGGTCCAAGAATATTCCGTTAACTCTGTCAACGATTATTCGTCTTCCTGCCTGACTTTTCGACAGCTGTTTTAACCAGTTTCCTCCTTTTTTTTGTTTTATTCAAATAACTTTATTCGTTCGTCTTACAGTCACTGATCTGTTTTGCCACCAACTAAGAGGTTGCCTTTTGAAAACTCCCCGACCAATTATAATTTAATAAACATATTTTTGATGCCAATAAATTCAACTAGATTGATGAAGAAGTTCGAAATAGGATATTCTAATTTGAAATGTAAGCTCTTAATTTAGTTAGGAAGATTGAATAGCCAAGTTATTTGAATTAATAGTGAGTATAGATTAGTGAAACCAGCTGTCTGTTAGGAAGTATCTGTCAGATTTTAATTAACTGTGTCGAAATAAAATTTGTGGTAGTTGGGGAATCAAGAGAAGGAAGCTGCATTTAGTTTCCTCTCGGCCGAATAAGGGCTATTTAAAGAGTGTACCACTACAGAACTTATTTGCAGGTCTTTTAACAACTATTCAAATGATTTTTCTATACCATGAGTTGATGATTTGTGTTTCTCGTTGGACCATGAATTGTTATTGAGTTTTTGTCGGAGAACAGGGTTCTTTGCTGAGTTACAAATAGGAATTCACCAGCGGGTCTACCAATTGATAATAGAGGAGCGGTGCAACTTATGGCTGAGACCTTGTACTTAGACCAGATGTGCTAAAGGAAAATCAAACTCCCGAACGATTTCCTTCATACAGAAAGCAGTGATGGTGAAACTAACGTTTTGATGTGACAAAGGTAGTAATAAAAAGGCTAAACAGCGACAGATAACACAAAAAATATCCATGAAATATCCATGGCACGGATTACCTTTCTAGAATAACCTCCTAAGAGATGCGGGAACGTATTTGAATAATCTTCGTTCAGAAATTTCTTCGGCATAGAGATTAATACAATATCGCACTGCAGGTATGATCTTGAAAGGAGATCATTACGCTACGGGGCTACAACAGGCAGTATTGAAAATGCCGAGAGGAAGCAGTCAAATGTCCCCTCTTGTTTAGCGGTCATAACTTTAAAGGTCATCATAACTATGTATCGATCATGTGGAATGTGAAAAGATAATATCACTCGAGTGATATTCAGCTACCTGCAACCTTGGCCTGTTTAAATTCTTAATTCAGGCTGCCTTTCGGTGATTAATCAATTGCTTCACTCGGCTAATTCCTCAA